AGGCTCAGTGGTTACAACAATTGTGCTTGGTTGGCGTGGCCTGGGTCTGGTGGTGGGGCCCAATGTGATATCTTTTCATGGGGCCCAAAATCCCTGGCGGCACCCCTGGGTATATGTACTGTAATTTGAAACTTTTCCATGCCATTAAACCGGATTCTTCCAAGTTTATAAGCCCAACATCACGCCTCAGAGTTTCCAAATAAAACGTCCGCAGCTGTGTGCCCTCAGTGCGTCACTGCTCTTTGCTCAGTGGACCGGCACACAGACAGGAGAGATGTCCGGGATCAGGCTGCTGCTTCTGGTCTCTCTGTCCCTGAGCCTGTGGGTCCGGAGCGGGGCTGAGATCCTGCCGGGAGCCCTGCAGCATGGCCCGGCCAGCCTGAACGACATGTTCCGGGAGGTGGAGGAGCTGATGGAGGACACGCAGCACATCCTGGAGGAGGCTGTGGATCAGGTCTGCGGCATGTTTTATACATTCATACAAAGGCAGAGTTCTTATAACTTGCTATTTTTTTATACAGTACATATTTATAATGAATAGCAGTGGAGATGATCTGTGTCGGGGACATCTCGTGGTGCTCCTCGATTAGACCAGCAGACACTACACATAGTTTCCATGCATGCTCTATGTCTGACCCACACCGTGTCTGAATGGCCTATAATAGCCCTCATGTTATTCATAATGTATTTTGTCCGGTCAAAATAAAGTTAATAGACAACAAATACTCACTTTGTTTTTGTTCAGCTGACACTTAGATACAGTGAGGTTTGTCTTCGTCCCAGGATTTAGATTTCAACAATCTAAGAAGTGTGTTGCTATTAAAGTATTGTCTGACAAAGGGGAAAGAAGCACTCTTTAAGTAAAACTAGAAATGCTGGATAGAAAGAGACTCTGAAAGTTTTAGGAACAAAGATTCTCTCTTTTTTGTCCTGATCCATTTCTATAAAAACATGTCTGAAAATGAGCTGATCAGATTTTGGCCACTTTATGATGTCATGACGATGTTTTGTCTTGTGTAACCATTAGCCAATCCTCCTCCTAGAGCACCATTGTGTTCTTTCAANCCCCCCCCCCCCACCTTATCACCTGAATCTCCTCCTAGAGCACCATTGAGTTCTTTGTAACCAGATCTCTCTCAGAGGGGCGTGGGGAGGGGCTCCTTATTTTCATCTATAGTAACAGACAGAGAATCAGCACTATGGAAACAGGGCTGAAACAGAGGGGATTATGGGTAATGCTGCAATGATCTGTTTAGGTGTTTCAGCCAATCAGAGACAGGTTCTGTATACATCTGAGACCTGTGATATATTGATGAAAAACAGTATGATAGGGGACCTTTTTTTATGCATACTAAAATATGCATCAAAATCTGCTCCCATTTTAAAATCATATAAAATTACTGGATTATTATTATGCATGCATTAATTTGTTCATCACAACTGTTAACGGTACAGCTCATTTGTATTTACAAACTGCTACTGCATAGTTTATGTATTAGTTTATCTATATATTGTATTAGCCTATAATCTGAATATGTAAAGTAACTTATTTTGTCAGATAAATGTAGTGGAGCAAAAAGTACAATGTCGGCTTCCAAAATTGTACTTTTTGGAAGTCAAAATTGTAGTAGAAGTATAAAGTAGCATAACATTGCATTACTAAAGGAAAGTACAAGTAGCCCCAAATCGCACTTAAGTACAGTACTTGAGTAAATGTACTTCACTACATTACACCATAGTGTCTGATACATACAGTATGTCTGAATACTACAAACTCTCAATAGTTACAGCCAGCTGCAGGATTCTTATTCTCCTCTCCCTATTGAAATCTGATCCTCATGGAGTACTCTGGGTTTATTTTTTAAGAGATTTTTGAACATTCCACCCGACAGATAACTACTGAGAGTGCTAAATCATCTTCAACCTTCCTGGATCTGCATACTAACCCCCACGATGAGACGAGGAAGATGACAAAGGATGAAGACCGACTGCTTCAGGTCCTGGATGGAGCTGACAACGTATGCTCCCCGCTGAAACATGATAACATGTGTTATTATCAGATTATGTTTTCATACATGGAAAAGCAAACCTTGTTCACAGAGTCACATCCACATTTATGGGTTTAGGAATGTGCTGAAACATAAATATTTTCCCCTTTTCTTTGCATGAATAAAACACAAAGATATAACTTCTATTGTGTTTGTCACATTTTGCTGTATAGAGGACTAATAATGAAACAGGAGACATTCATCTTTTACAAATCCACATGGAGATGTCTGGCCCTTGGAACTCGGGGTATCACGTGAGTCTGAGTGGTCTGTGTGAGGAATTAGACAACTGTTGGCCTGATGCATTCTGGGTTAATTCCTTGTAAAGCTGATATAATGTATAACTATAGAATACTTAGAACAGCTGTGAGTTGTTTTATTGAGCTCAAAGTGTTGGGTCTGCTTCCCCAGTGTGTTTAGAATAGGAAGAAACAAACATCCAGCCGCGCCAGTTTCAGATAAAATCAGTTTCTTTTAGCAGCAATAGTAAATGCAGACACATTTGAGTCTTTATTGTATTTTAACAGCATTCATTCTAGGTGAACATTAACTTCAAGGACTTATGTAAATGTATTCCCTTCAGTTTGGTAAGTATGCATAATGTGTGTAAGAAGAGAAGGACTGTGGCTGTTCTGTCTCAACTTGTTTTATGTAGAATGAGCTCATGCAGCATATACTTTCAGTGGCCAGCCTGGGCTGAAGTCATTATTACTGCGTTCAGCCTGTGTTGCCATTTTCCTTTACAACGGTATTTTTGATCTGTTGCTTTCCTGGCAGCGGTACAGAAAGTGGTTATGTTAATAGACCCTGCTGCAGGAAAAAAAGTCAGGGAAGCCAGACAGCCTGCGAGCCAGGAAGGAGAAGGTCTGCACTTCTGAATGACTAACTGTGAAGACATTCCATCCTCAACATGGAGTCTCACTTATATTAGTCAAGGGAGAGTCACAGTAGCGTTGGCTGATTCAGAACTTTACAGAAAACACCCAGTTGTCTGTATATTTAGGATGAAGAGAGCTGAACTGTGGATGTTTTGAGATGGCTGTGTGAAGTTGTTATCAGCATGACTACTGTATCAATGTTCCTACTTTGTAATGTCACCTTAAGCTGTGACAGCTTTAAACAGACGTCCATACAAGTTTTAAAAGTGCCTGAAAATGGAAATTTATGGCAAGGTGTTTAGTTTTGTGAATTCACTTCCAGTTAGATATGACTTGTCTCATAATCCTGACACAGCATTGAATCATTACAAGCCTTGTTATCTCTTGATTTTACGCAAATGTTATTTTTTAACTTCTCTTTGTCTGATTTATGAAATTGTTGATGAAGTGATCTGCCCTATTTAAGCAAACCATGATGACACTTTCAAAGGCACAATTGCATCCAAAAAACAAATAAATCATAATTACAACTTTATATTCTTTATAAGTGATTTTACAGCCCACTGGGGGCTTAGCTTGGTCGGCTGTAATGTAACTAGAGAGTCGTAAACAGGGTTTATTGTACACAATGTTACTGTGCTTCTTCTTTTCTGCAAAGTCATTCGTTGAAAATATTTGTATTGAAAGCCTATAGGCGCATTCACACCGCAGTACTTTTCCTACAAAGGTTCATGAGAACTTAGTTCATGAGAACTCTTTAGTTCATGAGAACTCTTTAGTTCTCATGAACTAAGTACAGATCGCGTTCACACCGGAATAAGTCCCTGGGGGAGGATTAGGCAAATGAAGCCGCTGACATCACTTCTTCTTCTGCTTTGGGTTTACTGGCAGGCCGAAAACAACTTCACAGCGTATACTGCCACCCGAAGTCCCCGGCCGGAAGTCCCCGGAGTTAGGGACTGGCTTCAGTAGAAGCTGCTGGGACTCCCAGCAGCTTCTACTGAAGCCTTCAAAGTAAATCGCCAGAACGCCGACACCTCCTCATCTCCACCGCTCCCATGTTTTCTTTTGTGTTGCCATAGGTTAGTCTCTCTGCGTTTGTGCGCTGGGCTAATGCTAGTAATGCTAATGCGAAGATAACAAAATGGCGGCTTCACAAAACCTTTTGGGAGTTTTACGGGGCGTGGTTTGCAATCCGCCCAGCCAATCAGACATAGGAACCTTTTTCTCCCACGAAAGTCCCTGCTCTCTAGCAGGGACGGAAAAGGGGGTAAAAAGGGTCTCATGAACTCACTTAAGTTCCGGCTCTTTTTGGTGTCCTTTTCCGTCCCTGCTAGAGAGCAGGGACTTTCGTGGGAGAAAAAGGTTNCCTAATACTGCGTCGTAGTTCCGAAATGTCTCGTTCACACCAAAAAGAGCCGGAACTTAAGTGAGTTCATGAGAACCTTTTTACCCCCTTTTCCGTCCCTGCTAGAGAGCAGGGACTTTCGTGGGAGAAAAAGGTTCCTATGTCTGATTGGCTGGGCGGATTGCAAACCACGCCCCGTAAAACTCCCAAAAGGTTTTGTGAAGCCGCCATTTTGTTATCT